ACATTAGTCAAGGATCTTCACGACAAAGCACGAACGGACTTCTGGATTTGGAAAGATAAGGGTTTTCCGAAATCTGGCCCTTTCTTTGAGATAATGTGTAGATATAAAGCACAGTTCAAGAGACTTGCTAATTGTAAGAAAAATTTCGTGCGAACGCTTGAGCAGAAAAGCTTAAAAATTACCCGAATGGCTACTGTAAAGCAATAACAAATCATAAAAGTAAAGCTCCAGCGCCCTCCTCGGTGGGTGGGTGTGCAGGGGACGTGAAGGTTGCTGAGATGTGGAAACAACACTATGAATCGATTCTGTATAAAACCGGTATTGACATTACACCTGTCATTCCAACTAATAAGTTTTGTGAAGACATTGTGGCTCATCAGAGTTAAAGATCTGAAACTGGATGTATCTCCCGGCATTGACGGTATCATTTCTGAACATTTTAGGTTTGCGCCCTCTAGAGTTTATGTAGTATTATCTCCTTGTTTTACTGCTATATTTGTTCATGGGATTATTCCTACACATCTTATGACCACTGTCCCAATACTAAAAGATTCGGGGCGTGGTATCTGTGATAAATCAAATTACCGTCCAGTTGCTGTGACAACAGTTGCATCTAAATTGTTAGAGAGAATATGGCTTAATCGTTGCACTGGGTGTCTATCTATTACAAATAACCAATTTGGTTTTAAACCTGGTCATGGCACTGGTATGTCAATTTTTGCTTTGAAGAAAATTTTACACTATTATAAGCGTCGTAATACTCCAGTTTTTGTCACTTTTATTGATGCTTCTAAAGCTTTCGATTATGTTCTCCATGATATTATGTTTGAAAAATTATTGGCCAGGGGTGTTAAGTCTTTCTTAATTAAAGTATTGGCTTATTGGTATAGATGTCAAGAATTTGTGGTTCGTTGGAATGGTCATTTATCAGATTCGTTTGGTGCTCAATATGGTGTGAAACAAGGAGGCATTATGTCTTCTATCTTATTCACAGTTTATTTAGATGATCTTAGTAAGAATTTATCAGCTCTTCCATATGGTTATTTACTCGGTGGCTACAAGGTCAACCACCTGATATAATCTGATGACATTGTCATTTTTCTACGGATCATAAAGTCAGCAGATGTTAGTGGATGCATGTGGCCAGTTCGGTAACCGGTGTTCAGTTCTCTTTGATGAAAAGAAGACTATATGTATGCTTTTTTCAACCTCGCATTAGAATAATTAACTTCAGTGTCTATCCATTGATGATGGTAGAATTCTTAAGTATGTTGACGTGTATAAATATTTGGGTCATTTAAATAACCTCTGATGATAGTGATATATTTAACAACATTAGAATGTGTTATGTTAGAGGCAATTATTCGTGGTTTTAAGTTTGCATCATTGCCTGTTAAGTGTAATGTTTTCACTGTTTTTGTGATGTTCTATATTGTTCTTATTTATAGGGTAATTTCACCATTCAGTCTTATTGCAATTTACGCAGAGCTCATTCACAAGTTTTTCGAAAATTGTCCGGTTTTAAACACTCTTATGTTCAAAGCAATAGTTTTATGTTTGTTGGTTTATCTATTTTAACGTTTGACGAAATTGTTAGGATGAAGTGTTTTAGTTTTCTTTCACGTTTGCACTTGTCTGACAACCCACTTGTTACAGCTGTATTATTCATTTCTATTTTGTTGGATAGTGTTTTATGGAGACTGTGGTGCAAAAGAATTTGTTGATGTGTACATATTTTTTAACTTCTATGGATTATTCTTTTTTAATCTGAAATAAATCTCAATAATAATAATAATAATAATAATAATTACATTGAGAATTTAGTATTATATATTACATGTAAAATTCGTTACCCACTGATCAGTTGCTGCTGGGTCATTTGTGTGTTTGAAGTTATTATGACCAACTTTATTTCTTATATACATCAATGATATCTACACTTCTTCAGAAATTTATAATTTTAGGTTTTATGCAGACGACTCGAATTTATTTTACACAATTAAAAATACAAATAATCTTAATTTACACTTCCTAAAAGGTGAGTTGATCAAGGTTACAGAGTCGTGCGATGCCAACAAGCTGACTATAAACAGAGCCAAAACCCAATATTTAGCAACTCGTAGCAGTAAGAGAAAGATAACATCATCTAGAGTTCTCTGACTGAATGACACAACAATTCACGAAGTGGATAGTGCATCATTCATTGGAATCACTATAGATAAACACTTATTATGGAAAAACCAAATCCTGGGGGCAAAGAAAACATCAGCAGACTTACGAGTATTTCCCTTAAACTTCGTTACAGTGTTCCTCAATCAATTCCTGTTATGATTTATAATGCTCTGATACTCTCCCGTATTCCATATGGCTTTAGAGGTAAGGGGGTAATACCTATTCTACTTATTTAAATGAGATTGTTCCTATTCAAAAAAAAATATTAGAATAATTACTTTTAGTGACAGACATGCACCATCAGAACCATTATTTAGAAAACTAGGAATTTTGGATATATTCAAACAACACAAGTTATAACTTTGTCCACGATGTTATTAATAACAGGTTGCCATAAATATTCCAAGATTACTACGCCCCAATTTGTCATTCACATAATACCAGACAAAATCAAAGAAATTATCTTTAAATAACCCAAATTAAACATAAAGCAGGAGAGTTCACCATTAAGTATGCAGGAGTAAAACTATGGAATAGCATTCCAAATCATATCAGGAAATATACAATGTAGGATTACTTTTAAAAAGGAATACAAAAATTACCTACATGCTAATTACACATATTTTCCAACTTAAAAATATATAAAAAATAATATTTTCTTAAATTGCATTTCTTGCACTTCCAGGTTTTTTTGACTGTCTCACTACTATTCTTATTTCCTAGTTGCTAATCGTATGAAGTACAGAGTTAAACGTCAGTATGCTTGCTCTTCTTGAAGTTGCCATCAATATAACTCTTTGGTGTTGGCATGCGTTTGTAAAAATTTAAATTGTCAATACGAGAGTTGAAATACCCAAGTATCATCATATCTCCATGGAAAAAAATAATTTTGTTATATTATTTTTCAGTTATGGAAACAAATTAGTTCGAAGTAATTTGTGTAATTTACAGAAAAGTAAATGTTTAGCGTAGTCACTAATTATAGTAATGTTTTATACACAAGCAGTGACGTCATTTGAAAATGTTCCAATGTTGAAATCTGTCGTTCAGTTTCAAGTTGAATTATGACATTTATAATTCTTTACAAAAATAAAGGGATGGGTTGATTTTGTAGATAGTACTACAAAAAAATATTTTTTTGTTTTCATATGTAAATATTGAGGCATTGCTAGATTCCAGAGATAGACTAAGTTCAGAATTTTAGAGATGAATGAGAGTTCTTTCTTAACTATTGAACAACTTGAGAAAGCTGGTGTCGAACCATGATTTGGCGTTGGAAGTATTGTATGTATGCAGCCCAAGCCCCCCCACTCCCTATATTTAGGGGGGGGCCTATGCTTGTTCCCTCATTTTTTGACCCCCCCTATCTAGGGAAAAGAAGAAAATTTAACCCCCCCCTTTCACGGGCTTTTCCGATGAATTTCACCCCCTATCTAGAAAACTTTTCAGTCTAGAACTCCTTTTAAACCCCCCCCCCCTTTTTTGTATACTGTAAAGGGGTTAATTATTCACTGGGTTTTAATTTAGCTTATTTCGCTGACTGGAAAAATGCGCTAAATTAAAACCCAGTGAATATGTAAAATTTAGCATAGAACACATTATCTAAATGACGAAACCGTGAATTTAAAACCCACTGATTATGCCTGAAATGGTAAATCAGTGAAATTTAAACCCAGTGAAAATTAGTCATTTTACAGTATCTCGGGAAGTGTTTTGAAATACACCCCCTATTTTGAGAATCTCGGGAAAACAAGCAAAAAATACCCCCTTTTCTACGATTTTCTCGGGAAAATGTTCCCGAGACAGATCGTCAAAAAGTACCCTCTTTCCCGAGAAAATGGGAACGCGCATGCGGCCCCCTATGGATCCTGAGTGGGGGGGGGGGGTATGCAGTGACCTATTTAGTACTGTTTTATCGGACAGTGACCGAACAGTGACCGAACAGTGACCAGTCGACTGACGGTAAACAACTGTGACACACCACTTAAAACAGCAACAACAACAAAATACTCATCCGGCATACATATTTACAAAAACAATATTTACTTATTTCATCTTACTTCTCGACCATTTGGATCATTACAGTATCATGAATTATGCCTTCGTTTTAATTTATTATCACCTGCGAATCGTAGACATTTTCTTGACTCCGTCTTTTTGTATAAATGTCTTAATAATATTTTTGATTCTCCCTACACTATTTCCACCATTACTTTTTATGCTCCCTCCAGAAATCTCCGCTCCGTATATCCCTTCAAACTATCTCTTTGTCACAGTAATATATTCTTTCATCCCTCGTTATCTTGACTTTTTAAATTGTATTTATATTGCTGATTCAGTAGACATTTTTATGAGTCTATCTTCTTTTAAGTCATCAGTTTTAAATGCCATAAGTTGAGCTTTGGGTGTTTCTTTTGATTTTATATTATTTTTGTAAATACATGTATTTTTGTATTTGTATTTTATGAGTGCCTGTAATTGGGGAAACCTTTTAGTGTCTCAAGTAAATAGATAAATAAAATAAATAAATAAATAAACATATCACTGGGAGTACTGGGGTATAGCAATTGCAGTTTGAAGCGCAGAGAGGGGGCTGTCACGAAGGCTTCAAACTACACTACCCAAAGCGGGTGTATTCTGAAAATAAACAATGGCAAGGTCAAGGGCACAGCGCTACCACGATACTTCTGCCCATGTAATTAGTCTACCCGGATACGACGTTGATTGATTGACAGGTGTAAGTGACATTCACAACCAGAGTGGCGACCTTCATCAGGTTGCGAGGGAGCCCTCATGCGGCAGCTTCTGGGATCTTTCCATTTACGTGGACCGTCAAAATGGCTGCTCGTCGTCTTACTCCGGTAGCAAGTAGAATTGTGAGTATTTCAACATTTTACTTTTTGCGTATTTAGTCAGTAAGTCATTGAAAGCTTTATTGTGCAAATGGAGGGGCTGCTCGGTCTGGTGGTGTAATTTGCAAGGAAACATCTAAATCGACCCGATGTTCGTTGTCGAGTCTCTCACTCTGCCTTCTAGTTTTCATGGTGCAGACGGCTCTAGTTTATCATCTGCGCCCGGCTTCCGCGTCGGATGCCACCCATTCGATAATCTCAAATCCGTCTATCAACTTAAACCCAGCACAGTTTCTGAATAAAATGGCTATTTCTATAAATGGCCAATTATATATTGTAAACACCAAGTCACGTGATCCATGTACAACTGGTATTAAAACTTATGGTATACGGGTAAAAGTGAAATTAAAAGCAAGGACACGTTGGGTTTGCTGTTAAAACATTTGTCACGTTTTCTATCAAGGAATGAGAGAGTATTCAAAGACCATAAGCCTTATAGCATTCATGTTAACGCAAGTTAAATGGACTGCTTGTCTGCTGAAAGTGAATTTACTGAAGAGTAATTGGTTTTCCTAGCATATGGTGTTGTGTCTTGCATGTACAACTAGAGATTGTTTCCTGAAAGGATAATATGCCACTATATTCAGGGATATTTAATAGATGAATAACGCAGCATGTGTTCTATATCAAGTTCATGGATGTTCACTACAGAAATTATTCAATCCAACATCTGAGATTTATTTTTGTTCAGATGAATGGTTTAAAGTTAATGAAAAATAAACTCAACCAGTAGTATTACAATATAGCTCACCGTTTTGCTAGATACATAAATTTGTCTTTTTTGAAATTTAAAGCTGTTTACAGTACTGGAATTCGCAGATGATGCAACGATTTTTACAATTCTGTTGACAGTATATCTGTATAATTTATATAACATACTTTTACTAATTCATTCTCAAGAAGACATAAATATTTCAAGGCCATATATGAAACATTTACTCCAGAAGGCCCTTGTGCTAAATTCTAACCCCAAGAAGGGATTGTATTGTTCATAGTAGCCCTTACTACCTTGCTTATACTAACGTTTCTCTAGTCACCAATGGCAAATTACTTTGAGATTCAGCTAAAACAAACTAGGTCACTTTTGCAATCAATAGGTATGACTGATTGCAGACTATGAATTATTCTGAAAAATCAGCGTCATTTAAAAAGCATATCATCATCCACAAACATATTGCTTATTACTGGGGGTATAAAGCAAATTTGAAGTTTAAAAATATTGTGATTTGTCATTTTCATTTGTCATTTTGTCAACTGCTATTTATTGAATTTGTTGTTTGTGGTATCATTTCTATATGAAGTTTTTTTAAAGCCAAATAATAGAGGTTGTGAACATTAGTTGACCTTACTCTAACCTGCAAGGGTACACACGTGTACAAAGGTTGGTGACCAGGGTTGTTACCCTATACATGTCCTATCGTTTTGTAGGTTGCTATGCAAATTTGCAGATATGTTTGTTTACACTTATAAGCTTTATGACAGCAAACCTTAAAAGGCGGTGGTCATCATGTCCAACATTTCTGTTGATAAACATTGATTTTCCGACAATCCAATGCGCTCTTCTAATAGAAATCATACGTATGAGATTTGACCTGGGCGCAACTTGCACTAATTACTGCTGATGACTCCTTCGATACCTTCCAATCAATCCATCAATTTTTATTACCGGTAACACTTTATAAGAAAAATGGTTAAAAAAAAAATTCAGAAGGTTTGCTTATGAGTAATTTTACTTATGATTAATTGAATTTTTACTCCCATGTGCGAAGTTAGCTTGTATGTATGTGTGTGTCTGTTCGTAGCACTGATATCTGAAGAACCTTATGTTGGATTTTAATGAAACTCGGTTCATAGATGCTCTGGGCTAATGCGTAGATTTTATTAGGTTTTGGTTGAAATCCTTGCATATTAATTATGCATGATAATTAGCTAATTTTTAGCTATTCCACGACTGTTCCACTGATATCTAAAGAGCCATTCATTGGATTTTGATGAAACTTGGTACATAGATGCTCTGGACTAATGCACACATTAGTTTTATATTAGTTAAATTAAATATTAGTTGCCAAGCTTCTCATTTGAAAAGCAAATCTTAAATTTCACATTAATTTTAATGTGTCTCCAATACTCTCAGCACACACGAGTTCTTTCTATGGTTTCTTTGATTTTGTATTTCTTTATATTTTTCTTCTTACTGAAAAAAAAACACTGACATCACCCAAACCTGTTAATGTGTACCATATTTTCTCTATTTTGTACATATGACAGATATTTTTCATCAATTTCTCCTCACCGATTTGCAGAATTTCTATTCCATACCTTACTTTTTATACCTTGTTAACTTTACAACATATACTGTATCTATTTTGTCATTTTAATAACATACCAGGTCAGATGTTGATTTACACTCTGCAGTAATCTTATTCTCAAAAGACTCTTAAAATGTAATAAATATTTATTTGGATTATCATGAATCTCTGCTCATGTAATTGTTTTGTGATTAGATTCAACTTTTAAAGACCATGAATACATGAATAGAATAGAATTATCAGATAACACATAATAATAACTCTGACTTGTAGTAATCTTTTTCAATGTAACCCGTCAAATATTGATGACTTGTTTTGAATAGATTTATCCCTTAACTAATAAATAGCATATCTCATCTCTGATCATTTTGTTTATTTAGCTTTGGTAATTGCTAATTAAAATACAGAACATTATTTTAGCATTCTAACAGATGTGTGGGTAAAATAAAAGCCGCTTTCGTTTTAACTATACGTCATTTCAGCTAATAGTCACAGTGAATTGAAAATGTCATCAATATATTGTGTGATTATGGGGATTATGCATTTATAAAATGGCCAAGGAATATAAAGTGATTTATTTCTGAACGTACTTGTGATATCAAAATCTGTGTGTAACAGTTGCATCAATCTGAATAAGTAATGAGATATTACTAGCATATTAGCTAGGCATTAGTGGAGTAGATACTAGATTAATCAATGCTAGTCTTTACTGAATTAATATTATTTATATAAATTAAAGGTATATTGTCTGCACTTGTTTGTATTTGATTTGTTTTTCTACAGAGATAGAAAATGAGCTACCCGGTACATAAAATCCTAGAAAGGTCAGGAACAATTATCAGATGTCTGAATTCTTGAAAAAATTACATGTAATAACATTTCAAATTCTGAAACAAAAACGAAATTAAAAAAAAAATGAGCTGTACTGCCTGCAATCTTCCTGTCCTCCTCATAATTTACATTGGTACATCCCTAATGGAAAATGTAATCAATTTGGTACTAGGAGTTTTACTAATTATTGGGAATTATAGTGATGTTATTAAAAAAATATAATGGAGTTTAATGGATTCTTAGACTAACAATGTTATAATATGAGTTTCTTCTCTCTACTGTGAGTCTGTCATTATAGAGGTATTGTCATGCTGAGAAAGGTCAAACAGCAATTTAAAAAAACTTGTTTCTAGGAAGTATAATTTGATAGAAAACTGGTTATTCTGTTTTTCTCTTGGGATATAATTAGAATTGTTCAAAGCCAGGTACAGGATTTCAAGATCAGATTATAATAAATTATTTTACCTGAATGCAGAGGAGAGAAATGAACTTCGGTACTCAATCTTTTCTATTACATGCAGTATACACCACTTTTAGAAAAAATTTACACCACAGTATTTTTGGAGCCCCTCTTTGTTAAGCGAGGAGTTGTCATCTGCGCTTGCAACAAACGACCATAGCATGTATTGTTCACAAATAAGTCTACCGAAGAGCCTTTGCATTTTATTGTGTGTTATCATTGCTGCTCAGAACTCGATTCCCACGCATATGCAGGTGATGACCCATTTGTTAATATTTTAGAAAACTTCATGCTTGAACCTTTAGATCATCCTGCAATAAATCTTCAGTTGGCACAAGCTCTATTTAGCTACGTGTGATGGTACCGCGTATGTCCGTGGTTTTTCTGTATAGAGTTGTTAAGAAGTATGTTATCTCACAGGATAGTATTGAGACTTGTACGTATATCATACGTAAAGCAAGACAATAACATATACTACTAAAGAATATGAGTAAAATAATTGCAGACGAAAAAGTTGTACATTTGAGTTAGCACTTCAAATTATCACAAAAAATATCCAAGTGGAGTATATAAAATAAGCCAAATATCAATTCTGAAAAAAACTGTGCAAACATGCCATTATGATTAAAAAAAGTCAATGAAATTCCATAATTACTTCAGCTGCCAGCTTGATGTTAAATTGATTTGGTTTTGTATTCTGGGGCTTTTAGCTGATTCTTAGAATGTTATTATTACTTGGCTTTACCATTAGATTAAAACTATTTGCATTCAAGACATGAATTGCAGTATGAGAGAGAAAAACATCTGTTTTCAAAAGATACCGACTAATAGTGAGATAACAATAATATTATATTAGCTAATCTATTTACAAGGAGGAGAGGATATAATAGTTATTTCAATGCAAGTATATTACTACTACAAAATGACAGACCCATTTTAATAGAGGTATATCACCTATTATAATTACTATTTGAATGCAGTTGCTTAGATACAGGCAGCCATCTTGGAAGCGTAACCCTATACTTTTCATTGGAATTTAACAACAGTCATGTGATGTGAAATTTTGTTATAATGTTTAAAAGAAAAAAAAAGTCAATATACAGTATGCTGTATTAAATAGCTACCGTACATGAATATTGGCAGGTATTTTCATTTGTATTTTAAGAATCTATGTATATTTACTTTATTAGCTACTACATGAATTACCGTAGATAAAATATTCCGTAGCTGAAAAGATGCATTTTCTGGTTTATTTATTTAATTTATATTGCTGTGAACGAATATTTTCAGGAAAAAACTTTTTTGTTGTTGTTGGTATAATGAATTGTTTTACTTTCATATTGATTTTTTTTACTGTTTTTTCAGTCGCTTGCTAAAGTCATGCTACATGGTGACAATATGCTTCTATTTATTTTATGCATGTATCTGATTGCAAATCAATGAAAATATAAAATGTTTCCACATGGTGTGTAAGTGCATTTTATTTCTAATTTTATTTGCCTTATCGATCAATTACGCTGTAAATGCATTAAATGTAGATACGAGATTGAACTAAATATAAGGTGGAAAGGCTAATGGAGTTACTCCATCAAACACTTTGATATTTAGACAGACCGTTTATTGACTTAAATGACATTAAACTCTCATTGCCATGAGTAATGTGATTTATCCATGCTTGGACTCGAGAATAATTCATAGTTTATAATACTTGGGTTATGATGATCCGCTGTCAATCTTTCTTATTGTAGTTTATTAAACAAATATTGCTATTTTAGTAAATATAATTGCAGAATATCAATAACCAAACATCAGATTTTAGAGTGAATTTTGTTTCTCATCAACTTTTCCAATATTGTCTTCCTGGTGTGATTGATTTCAGTTCCATTTTGCAGACAATTTACTGTAACACAGATAAGTATGTACATTAGAGTGTGATTAGTTTTGAGAAGCTCATAACAGGCACTGCATTAACGGGTAGGATTTCTAAAGAAGTAATTTGTGTTCTGTGTCAACACTTCTAATTACATACAATTCCACACAGATTGCTTAATATGAAAATATAATTTAATTAACATATTTGAAAGTCTGCTGATGAATTTGGATTTAATTTAATGGATTTAAACACTGGCAATATTTTTCATAAATTTTGCATAATTGTTAAATGTAATACCGAGAGTAATTCAAAGTCTTGTTATCATTCCCTATCAGTCGGACCATGAATTATGTGACTGAATTGTGAAATGATATATTACAATTGTAACTTTGGAGTGGATTTTTGTCAGCGGTAAAATGGTTGTTGAGTTAAGATGTAAATGGAAGTGATTTAAACAGAAACAACTTTTATTTCTTGTCAATAGTGGTCATTTCATATCAGGTTGATGAATTGGTTGGGGAAAATAAAAAAATAATATTTAGCAAAAACAAGGAGAGCTACCTAATACATCAGGATTTATAATACAATATAGATTTATAGATTAATTTTGAGTTATAACAGATAAAAGTATTAGCTTTCTGTATACTACCAATGCTAATAATTTACGTGATTTGAGAATGTTACAACATTCGTAAAGACAAATTTGTCAGATACATTGTGTCCTAGCACAGCAGAGAAATTTTACCATTACTAAATTTGTTGAAATTAAATTAAAGCTGTATCTAACTATGTGAACAAATATTTTGCTTTTATCAAAGGGCAGGAGAAGCCCTTTAGTGGAGTAAATAATGAATGTTGGGTAGTTTTGGTGTATGGAATTTGTTTAATTATCGATGTACAGTGATTTGGGTTTGTGATAAAATAAATAAGTTTCAGATAGAGTGCACCTGATCCAACTGACCATTCTGAAATTATTTATTGTAGACTTAAGTGAGTATTAACGCTTCTGTCTGTCATCATGCCTCCTAATTGCCTGGATTTGACAATTCTCCCCATATCTTATCTGTTCAAGGTTGACTTGGTATTGCAGAGATTTATTTCTAATCAGATCTGTGGTGAAATTTACTGACATTTACTGTGCTTGCAATGCTTGGCTTTTGTCATTAAGATGATCTCACTCTACATATGTTGGGGATTATAACTCAGATTCTCATCAGATTTAATCACCTTATATCAGTTAATATCAACTGCGATGTAATACACTGACACTGACTGTTTTAAGAGGCACTATCCCAATGTGAAATTCATCATAGTTTCAAATAGGACAAGAGAACTGGTGATGTTTGTGAACCATAACTGCCTCAGCACAAAGACTGTTGTGTAATGCAAGGGAATGTAAAGGGAAATGTATTACGAACAATATTAACTGAAATTTAGAAAAACTATGAAAAATAAATTATGAAAATCTATGATTTGCTGTACAGTTTGAAGAAAATTATTACAAGTCTCGGAAGTATTGGGGCAGCCAATTTGCAAACTCGCTAGTGAATTGGCTCACTGCTTGGGTTTTGACTAAACAGTTGGCTTTCGAATCTCGCTGGTGCTGTCTTGTGGTCACGCCCACTCTGGCCTATTCTATATAACAGTAGGGGATGGTCGTCACACTTTAGGAGCTAATCAGTGACTGTCTTACAGTTGGATGGCGATTTTGCTTTTAAATATACCAGAGAAAGTGTTCTATGTTCTTTGTGTAATGAGGTGTTCGTATACAAGGCATAGTCCACGCAAAAACGATGAATGAGATCAAATTTTATTAGTGATTGGCTTAATGTTACTACCCCAATGAATCATTTGGATGTGACAATTTAATTTTCTCCCTGATTTGTAGAAAACTATTTCTCAACGTGTCTCTTTATTTAGTTTCAAGATGGCTACCCCCATATAAATTATAATATACTCGTACTACTTTTACATTATCATGCCTCGCATAACATAGCAAATCGTCCAGGGGAATTCAGACATGTACCAGGCCACGTACAAACATTCTGTGTCGACCTAAATACTTCTGAGACTTGCTATAAAAGAACAATAATATTTATAAAAAGCACAGTGCAGAGATTCACTTTGAGTATACCTGAAATATAATCTTACAATTGCATACAAGTCGTCAAAACGTACAGTTTGATGACAGTTGGGAATGATACCAAGAATTAACCAATCCATGAGAACATCACAATGTGCATAGGTCAAATTTTGTATAGTTTCAATAGGCATACAAGCACCCGTATATATTTTGAAAATAAACCCCTATTTCACATTGTGCAAATACAAACAATTCATTAAACCTTCCTGACAGTAACAAGTAAGTGTTGTATACACCCGAATGAAAAGTCCAGAGTCATGGCGAATGCTTTAGTCTTCTCAATCCCTCAAGATAAATGTCCCAAGGTTGTTTTGTTTACTAGAAGGAAATGTCTTTTAGCAGCATTTCTTGTATTAATTTCCATTGCACAAAAATGCAGCAAATACTGTTACTGAAGCACAGAATTTGCATGAATTTTTTCCCCTCGACCATTCAAGCAAACTGAAAATCAAGTTTTTTACCGCATCCATAGTTGTTGACACTTTGCAGCCGCCGTGATAGATGTATTGAGATGTATATTGGACCCCCCCCCCCGATTTTGACCTTGCATTCAATTTACAATGAATACAACTGTTGGTTGCATTTGTATTTGAGTAAATATGATATAATTGTAAGAATACAGCCAACACTGGTTTCTCCAGTTATTTTATGAAACTTTACCAGCAGTGTTTGTTATTAGGATACAAATTCTTAATTATTATCACCACTTATTGTGCGGATGCAGCCATTACAAATCCAATTGATTTATTTTACTTTTGTAGGTGTTTAGACGTTTTCGTAGTTCCAAGTCATTCACGGCTTCGGGAGAAAGCATTGAACCAGTGATATGGACTGGAAAAGAGACGTTAGCTGAGAGCGATCCCGAAATGATGGCGTTAATATCAGAAGAAAAAGACAGACAAGTACGAGGATTAGAATTGATTGCATCTGAGGTGAGACATTCAATACTCTAATGATATCAAGTTTATTGCAACCATATTTATTTTAGAAATGAGTTTTTGTTATTGATTGCTTTTTTTAAAGTACAAGATTAGATTACATGTCAAACCAACTTCATTTTATTGTAATTTAACACATCACTATTGCAACTTGCGTAATATTGTTGGATTTAAATAATTTTTTTTTAAATCAGCTGTAAAATTTATTTTTACCATAATTTTGAATCTGGTTAAACTTACTAATCAATTAATTTAATCAATATTGTGTGCAAACTTCTATTTCATGAAAATCAGTTCATATAATTATATTATATGTTTAGGTACTGTAGAAAAAAACAAATAAAGGATACTTAATTAATTAATGGCTTTGATTTTACTGAACTGATTTTATCAGAATCCTCTATAATAATGAGGCAATTGTCATTTTTTGACAGGCTGCTATATTGTCATGATCATATGTTAATTTCACTATTCCTACTTGTGATGCTGTTATTCTGAGCATCAGTGCCGGAATAAACTGACTAGAAATACCGCTATTTCCATATCAGTCTCAATTACAACATTGCAATATTCCTAGGATTATGAACATTGCCATTGGTGTTTGTTTTGACTTCAGCACTTCTCTACAAGCCAAAGCTCTGGCACATCACTTTAATATTTTAAATATAAATCCATTAATCCAAAGTCAGATTTGAGCAAAAGAATTGTGTAAAATATGAAAATGGTGAATTTAATGACATGTAGAGTGACTTTTGTTTATATTATTTTTTTAACGTGGTTGTTTTGTTTTAGAGTGAATTATTAGTTGAGCACAAGCCAACAATTTTATCTAAAATATGAAAGTGGAACTTCTGATACGTAAATCAATGTTGTTGATTTTCAATGATTAAAGTCAAAATTTCTATAAAATACCATCGACGATGTTCCTATGAATATTCCACAGAGATTTTCTTGATTTCACTGCCAGTTGCATCATTGGGGCTGTGGAAACAACTCAAACAGTAGAACATAGTTCCAGCAGATCATTATTTTTTTTTTCCTACGTTCATTCCAAATGATGTTTAGTTGATAATGTTTAATTTTGTACATGTTGATTCAGTGATTGCATCCTGTGATCTGATTGGTGGAAACTACCCAGCCATTTTAGAAATGAGTAAATAAATAAATAAATAAATAAATAAATACAAGAGTGAATGGGAAAATAAAATAAATAATACTTCAAAAACGGAAAAGTGATTTTTTTTAAAATAGCATCCATATATTTTGTGTGTGTAGGATATATATATACCGTATTTATCCGGGTAGAAGCCCAGGGTCTTGAACATGGAAAATCGCAAAAAAGAAGGGGTGGGCGTTTGTCCGGATATCCCCGGCAAAAAAAACGAAAAATCGCGAAAATTGGCAACGCGCAGATCGAACTGAGACAGGGAGAAAAACGGCAAATAAAAACATGCAACAAAAATAAATGAACAATATGCAGCATTAGAAGTGTAACAAGAAATAATTTATTGCTTAGAATGTGACAAATATTAAAACCAGAAATAATAAAAATCGACAATTCATTTGAATTAGAATATCCCCATCGACAAACACGCCGCCTCATACGCGTGAATTATTTCCGTTTTCGACAATTACCGGATCAACAGCCATACAAGATCAATAATATTTTACGCAGTAAAATTATGAAAGTTCATAGTTGTTAGAAAAAAAAACCTTCTAAAATCTCTATTTGTACGTTCATTACTATCTTCGTAAAAGTCAAAACCCTGAAATTCCAAGTCGGCGCCACTGTCACGATCGAACTAAAATCCCTATAGCTTCGTCTTGAAGTTTGTCAATGTCGTCCCACACAATTTGGACTTAGCACATTTAATCCACGGATTTCGCTGTCTGGTAGCTTGGCACTTTTAATTAACGTCTAATCAGAGTAAAGAGACAAGAAAAATGGGGTCGCGGCAAACGACTCGCACGATGCTTTTGTTTACCGTCTGGCAATCATCTTTGACCATTAAGCATCCGCTTTACCGATTGGCTAAGAATGACATCACTACTAGTGTTTCGTCATGGAGGTAAATTCAACATCGCTTTTTTATCAGACTAGGCGTTCGTTCATCAATCGCAAATATTTTTAAACAACGTGCTTTAAACCACTCTCCCAGGTACGGGTTGCTACAATATTGCAACATTGGTTTCATTGTCGCTGACGCTAACTACGGTACGTAAACAGTGGTGAACGCGCTGCTCTATTTATGTCACAGCTATTTCGCGTTCACTCCTCGTTTTACGCAATTGACATTTATTTTTCAAATTTTGTTATCAGAATCAAAACAAACTGCAAGAGAGTACACTGTTAATACAACGAACAAAAATAGGTTTTTGTTTTTATAATTTTATTACAGGTGTAGAAAAAACACCCCTGGGCGTTTGCTAGGATATGACTTCAACTCCTTTATTTTATCAAAAGTGGGGGGTGGGCGTTTGTCCGGGCATGGGCTCTTAGCCGGATAAATACGGTATATACACACACTTCAATGTGACATTATGACCAGACTGAATTTATTTTGTTTTATTTCAGAATTTTGCAAGTCGTGCTGTTTTGGAATCAGTTGGATCATGTTTGAATAATAAATATGCTGAGGGTTATCCAGGACAGAGGTGAAACTATGAAATATTATCATATTTTTTATATTGGAAATTACCTGTGCATAAAACTACTTTAATTGTGAGATAGAATCATATTGAGTTTTATGATTACTTTATTCTCCTTCCTGAGCCTAGCAACTCAGACCATGAGGTGATTCATTACAATACAATTAATCAATTACTATTCATATTTTATCACAGCAATTTAAAATATTTCTTCTCCTACTATTTGGGCAAGGTTTCTGTAGTTGTGCTATGTTTCCTAATATACCGGTACGTGGTGACTTTTCAGATATTATGGTGGAAATGAAACAATTGATAAAGTAGAACGTCTGTGTCAATCGCGTGCATTGGAAGCCTTTGATTTGGATCCTGAGAAGTGGGGAGTGAATGTACAACCGTATTCCGGATCTCCTGCAAACTTTGCCGTATATGCTGGATTACTGAATCCACATGACAGAATAATGGGATTGGATTTAGCACACGGAGGACAGTAAGTATAGCAGTGACTGGATTTGATATAATTTCTACAGAATTGAAAGAAAAGTATTTTCTTTTTCGCTAAAATAACAAAATTTTAACTATTATCATGATATTTATACATATTATTTTATACTAGTATATTGATGGTGTTAATCGATTTGACTGGTCCAAACACAAAATTTTTATTTAATTTGAAATGTGTGGCGTGTGTATTTTTTGTATGCATTCAGAGTACAACTACATAATAATAGTATCTGAAATGTCATGTTGTCGGTGAATTGATTTAAAATTCAAATCATGAAGGATTCTAGTTTAACAAATCAACTCTTCCTATTCAAGACTGCACTTATCGTCATTTATATTTTCAGTTTGACTCATGGTTTCATGTCTGATACAAAGCGTGTGTCTGCTACATCAATATTCTTTGAATCAATGCCCTATAGGCTCAATGTAAGTATTCATTCTTCCACCACATAAGGTACCGTAGTTGGCTACCATTAAAAATTATCGCCAGATTTACATAACTTTTACCAAATGATTTTATTTTATTGCTCACAAAATCCTGATAAAAAATGTATGGTTATCGAACTACTTTTTGCACAAAAAATGTGTCAAACACCTGTGAAAATAGTTTTGTCAGGTACATACCTAAATTATTGAGAAATTTTGGATGAGGTTCTGTTTTTTCTTCATGAATTAATGTTTGAATTCTTATGTTTTGCATGTTTTCAAAAGTTTTTCTCTAAGAAAATATTTCATACTGGGTAAAAAAAACACAATTAACACAGCTAATTTTAAAAAGTACCACAAATTCTTGATGCTCTCCTAGTGAAAAGTTCAAACAAACGACAATTAAAAATCCAAATTTATTTCCGTGGAATCAATGACTTCGAAATTTGTATTACCGGGTAAACCCTTTTTTTGGCAATTACCGGTACTCTGGATTGGCAAAATGTTTAATATTTAAGTTCTAAATTGTAAGACTACTTTTGGTACCCCATTCTTTTTCTATTGTTTTGATTTCTTGTAATTTAAATTTAGTAATTAATTCAGCTTATTTTCTACTTAAAAAACTAATGCCTTTGGGTAATATGTTTTACTTACAGCAACAAACAGGTTATATTGATTATGATAAACTAGAAATGACTGCTAAACTATTTCGTCCTCGGTTGATCATTGCTGGAACCACTGCCTACAGTAGATTACTGGATTATCCTAGATTTAGACAGGTGAGTAGTAGACAGATAGAGAATTCCAGTCTTCTCATTGTAGTGATGTGGTCACTTTTATATTTAGGTTGACAATGTGGAGACAACTATATATTCTATGATATTAACCCTTTGAATGTCATCATTTTTTTTGCCAAAATTTGGGTGCAAGATTTTATTATATTTGTGAGATTTTTGGTTATTTTTTTGATAATTTTGAACGAAATGTGTCAAAAGTTTACTTTGGCGTTTAAACGGTGAATGTAATTGAATTCATAATCTACAAATATTGCAGAAAATCCTTTAAAGGGTTTATCCCTACTTTGTAGAACCTAGCCAGCGGCAGAATCAAGTGTTGGAATGAATTGGATAGGCAAATTAAATAGTTACCTTTCAAAAATTGCAAATTACCAGTTTTTAAGAAAAAAAAAATCGCTGTTTTTTCCCCCCAAATCAGTGCCAGTTGATCTTATTTACCATCACGGAAATTCACTTCCACATTGCGTTACAAATTTATATCGTCAATAATCGGAAAACTCAGTATAAAGCAACATTTTGATTGGTTTATGAAAGACTTGACCTCTTAGGTCAAAGGACGTTCAGGTCAAATGAAGGTAAAAAGCATCATGGCAAGAATTGCTTTGCAGAGAGACTTTGCATACAATCGGAAACATCCCACAACGATAATGAAGATAATGATCTTGCCTTTGACTGTTTTCCCACAGACCTTACTCATTTTTACACTGTAAATTAAGGCAGTATGTAAATCGTATTGTAATAAAATGTGTGTATTTTTATGAACATGTTTGTTTCTTCATTGTAAAAGTTTCAAGGACGACGACTCTTTTATTTTTTTCCTTAAAAAAAACACATAATAATCCCCGACCCCAGCATGGTGAATGAAAGATGTAATTTGGATAATTTTTAGTGGGTGGTAAGTTGGTTACAATTGTAAATCGGAAAAAAATCATCTTTTCTGAGGCGGTCCTCGAGTATAAGCCCACCCTTTATTTTTCCCGATTTTACATGTTCAGGCCCTTGGTTTATAATTGGGAAAGTACGGTAGTTACCAGTACCCTAGAATGAGCTTAGATTGGTCGAGGAGACACGCATGTATGTTGGATTTTAAAATTATGATCATTGGAGTGTTACTAATTGATATTAATCTGCCATTATTATTTCTTTGGGAATATGGTAAATGGATAATATTGTATCTTTAAAATTTGTAATCCCATTTTATTTTCTTGCACCTGTAATTTTTACCTTGTAGATATGTAATGACACTAATTCAGTTATGATGGCTGATATGGCCCATATTAGTGGTTTAGTTGCTGCCAAAGTCATTCCATCACCGTTTGAATATGCTGATGTTGTTACAAGTACCACACATAAAACTCTAAGAGGCCCCAGGTAGGTTCCCATGGTAACATGGTTCCCATGGTAACATGGTTCCCAGTATATCATATATTGTACAAAGGTGCTAGTATATACTGTATAAATTACACCATCTTGAGAAAATATATTTTACTGTACCATACCTTAAAAAATGGGTGTAGAATGCAGATCTGAAACTTCTATGCATGCATGAACTCAGGTAGCCTAAATTAAACAGCAGTCTGATCTACTTTATGCTCAAAACTTTGGAGTGTCATTCCAATTTTCAAACCAGCTTGTCAGAATATGTAACATCACTTTCTCCTCCCAGCAGGACTGGTGTAAATATATGTTGTAACCAACATGAATTAATTGTCCCACTGGAGTCATTAGTGTTCAATCATTGTCAGGAACGGGTCCTACTATTTAACGCC